GTTTTGGTAAATTGAAAAAGAAGCACACTAGAAGCAAATGGTTGTCACTAAAAACAGCTTGGTAAAGTTGAAACTTGAAAAGGAGTATTGTGGTAAATTTATTTCTGTAACTTGTCTAATAATTATTCAAGGACACGATTCAAAAAAAAAATTCTTTTGTAAAAATTGACTTTTTTTTTTGGGAAAAAATATTCTTAAAATGTTTAGCTTGAACAATGTGATTTATCTCATGACTTTTTATTTGAGACATATTTGTTAAGAAGGAAGAGAGATATAAGATAAAACGAAAATTATATTAAGAAACGGTAATAAAAGCGGGCTATTCTATCACAGCTTGCATATTAGGTGGTGCGAGCTAGCAAAACGTCAACCCTCGCTCACCACCACCAACCTGTGAATCCAATTCCCATTATCCATATAATGTTGGATTAGATTAAGCTATGCAATGCTTTGGTTCGATATTCCTATATGCTGACTAGTCAAGTGTAGAAGTTTTTTCTTCCAATTTTGGCCTTGCCTGCCTAGCTCAACCCGAAATGATTAGGCAACCTCAAACCAAGTGTAGGCTATTTCTCTAGATGAGCTGGTGGCATGAAGGAATAAGCAAAGCAAAATTCTTACTATATTGAAAAGCCTAAAAGATAAAAATGCTTTTAATATTCTGCTGATGACCACATAGTTTAATTTCTCCCGATATGTTGTGGGAAATACTGAATAGTAAACCTTTTCCAAATAGGTTGTTATTTACAAAAAGACATGGGATTTTTGAACATCCAACAACTACTTGCTTAGTTAAACAATGAGAGCTATTGGCTCTAACACCGGCCTGAATTGATGATGTTAATTGTTAACTATATTTATATGCTATCTTATTTGAGAGTATTCTAATCAAGTCTCAAATAAAAAATTACTAAAAGATCCCAATAATAACCTAAGTGACCTGTAATAACAAGTTTTAAAGTAGAAAATGATAATTTCTGAGACTTGTTTGTAACTTTCTTCTTTTTTGAAACCTTAATGTAATTCTCCCATATCATTTTTTTCTCTCCAGAGCTGTTTGGTACATTGAACTTCAAAACAACGGAAAGGGAAGGAAATTAATGCATTTGGTTGCGTTATTTTTCTCTCATCTAAAACGAGCTTCTTGCATATCCAAGAGAGAAATGAAATTAAAGGATAAAGGTTGATCAAATACCCCTATCCATCTAATGCTGTGAAACTCTTTGCTATGGTTTCAGTCTTCTTCTATTCTCCAACAATTATCTTGCTAATACAGCCACCTGGCTTTAGAGCTCAGTTCATGTATCCAACTGGCAATGAAAATGTTTGCTTCTATTATATTTTTATCGTTGTTTTCTTAATTGGGAAAGCAACAAAATCAAATAATACACGCACCCATACACACGCATATCTCGTGTACTCATTTGTTATATGTATAAGTTTTAGTAAAATGAATTTTAACCATTTAAATAAAAAAAAAATTCTTGAATTCGAGCTTTGGCGAGTATAGAAAACACCTTTTAAAAGAAGTTATTTCAATTAAATTTAATGATACTTGATTTTGAGCTATTAAAAAAGACAAGGAGGCATGGGTATTTTGGTCATAAAAAATCAATCCCATGATTGATTTTTCAGTATAACATCATGGGGACCAGGAATATGTACCCAACATTGCACAATCCTAAGCATTAATTAATGTGTCGTACTGAGCATGTTAAAATGATATGCGCTGCTAACCTCCTATGCGTCATATCAAATAACAAGGCCATAGGTTTTATACTTTTATTCTTGTCCCACTTCTTCTCTTAGGAGTTGTTTGGTATGTTGAATCTCAAAAGAGAAGAGAGCAAATAACAGAAAAATTAGTTTAGTTGCATTGCCTTCCTTTCTTATGGAAAACGTGCTGCTTGCATCCAAGGGGGAAAAATCGGAAAGGATAAGGGTTGAGAAACCCATATCCATTTAATATATGAAACTTCTCGAACTAATATAATATTTAGTATTTACCGTTTGTTTTCATTTTGATTTTGGTTTATATAGTTTTAAATTATAAATTTTGATTCCTTAAGTCTTGTTATTAGTATCTATATATTTTAATGAGGATTTGAATCATTTTGCCATTTAAAAAATCAAAATCCATGATTTAAAATTATAGAGACAAAAAACCAAAATAAATGCAAACTATGTAAAAATCAAATATTATATTAAACCAAACTTCTTTGTTGTGATTTCAATCTTCTGCTATGTCTTGCCGTCTCCACTGATTATCTTGCTGTTACGCCATCTAACTTTACAGCTCAACTCGTATTTCCAGCTGACAATGTCGATAGTGTTTACTTCTGTTCTATTTTTAGTGATACCGCTTCAACTTGGAAAGCGGCAAAAACAAACATGCATGCACGCAAACATATCTTGTATCCTTATTATTTATTGATAAGAAAACTATTTTTGACTAATATGTGGTTTTAGTAGACAAGGTTATAATGCCTTAAAGATGGTAAAAGGTCTAAAATTTGAATTTACTTGGATATAGAAAATGTTTTAAAAAATTATTTTTATTAAACTTGATAGTACTTGAACTTGAGCTGCAAAAAAGAAAGACAATTTACCGACTAGAATGTAAGATGCAAGAAGCATCTTCATATTGAACAAATAAGGGCAGACACACACATATTGAGTACTCATATTCTTAATAATCTATATATTTAGTCAAGAAACAAAAATGGAACTCACTATATTTTGTTATATTTTACTAATAGTTATAGTTAAAAAATATTATTTTCACATTTAGTAATCGTGATAATTATAATAGTTAACAAATCATTTCATTAGTTTTCTTAATATCAAAGTTATTACAGTCATTGACTAGTTATTCTTTTTTATCAAACCAGCCATCTCATCTTACCAAATATAAATTCAACTATCCAATTATTTTCTATTTATTGGGGACTAAATAATTATTATTTCCTCCCTTTTCTTTCCGTTCATTTTTATTAAAATACATTAGTCCCCCAAAGGCACATTCATGCTCAAGCTTTTTTTACTACCTTATCAGATACACTAGTATAACCTGGCTTTATAAAATAGGTTGATGAATGATAATAACTTTCTTACAAAAAAAAAAGGTTGATTTTTCAAGCGAACTTGAGAGTGATTTTAGTGATGCTAAGGGTGTGTTTGTACAAGGGAAATGGAGGAGAACGAAGAAAAGAAAAAATTTGAATGAGATTGTTTTAAAAAATTAGAAAAATATGATTATAAACTTTTAATAAAAAAATATAATATAAAAGAGTAAGAAAAATTAAATAAAAAAAATTTTAATCCAACTTTTTCAAAATTTTAAAATCAGCTCATTAAAATTTTTTTTCTTCTCCCCTCACCTCTATTTTCTCACACCAAATGAAACTTAAAGATATTTTGGATGCCCTTCAAATCAATTAAAACAATATTTTCACGTAACTCAAAATTTTTTATATATATTTATTTCACATCCTATAAAATTACTTATAAAAAAGATTAATCTAAAAGAAAAAGGAGAATGGAGTAATGTGGTTATAGAAATAAAAGTTTAATCTCACGATTCACGAGACATCTCCCCAGGTCTCTCAAACTAGAATCAAAAGTAATGGGGTCCCACTTTGAATGATGGCACGTGAGTCTCTCTCATCATCATGAGGCGATGATCAGGCGCGTCGCATCCTAGGCGCGTGAACTCATTAGTCAACAGTCAACGATTGAAAAAGCCGATTTCTCTCAACCGAACATCATAAAAAACAATCAGCCTTCCCTTTAACCGTGCTTCCTCCTTACGTTCCTGTTTTAAATTGACCGTGTCAGGAAATAAATAAATAAATAAATAAAAGTTGGCCTCTAAAAATATAGTAAACACTACAAATTATAAATTGTTCATGAGAAATTATTCTAAATTAGAGCTCCCTGTATCTAATATAAGACTTTTTTAATTTCCTATAATTTCACATCTTTAATGTTATTTCTCTTAAAAAAGTACTAATTTAAAAGTCTAAGAAAAGTGATTTTTAATTTATACCACAAAATATAAAAGCTAGTGAAATAATTTAAATAGATTAAAAAATTTGTTAAATTAGTTATTTATAATAAATTCATATCGTCTTTTATAGAATATTCTTGTTAATTATATGTATTCATTAGAATTAATATTTGATAGAATTTTTAACATACACAACTATTATAAAGACTACTTAAAAAATAAATATGAGAAAAAATAGATTATAATTTTATGTTTAAAATCAAATTAAAAATTAAATTAACTCTGATATTAATAATTGTGGTGACACTTTTCACATTTCAAATTAGAAAAGTGTTCTTAATTTTTCTAAAAATACTTTATGTACTAAATATGACGGAGAGTGTAGACCTTGTAAAATTCTTTATTGCAAAATATCTACATAATTTATCAAAAAAATTTAAAATATTAAGTTAAATCAGAAATATATTTTATATGCTCGCATCTTTTATTTTTTATTTTTGCAGTAAAATATTATTTTGTTGTACTCACTAGCCCACAAGCCAACAGGCAATGACAGTGGCCAGTGGGTAAATAATGAACTAAACCATGGTTAAAAACAAAGCCGGAAGCACAGTGAGGTAGGCTTTAAGCCTAGGAATAGCCATTTATGTCATCATTGAGCCAATTTCCCAACTCTGACACAAGTCATCATTATCACTCTCTCTTTCTCTTTCATTCTCTCTCTGCCTCTGCCTTCTGTATATATATCTACATATTGTGCCTGTCCTCCATACTTTTACTGTTCTGCAAAAAGCAAAAGAAAGGCTGTGACACCTCCCCACTGCCCCTCTCTCTCCCTTTACTCCGTTTTGCTTTCACCCCAGAAAATTTTTCGGACTCTTCACTCTGTTTGGTTTCCCGGAAAGTGCCTCTGGTTTTTTCCTCTCGCTTTCTCAGAGAAAATGGCGGAGAAAGACGATGGGTTGGGCTTGGGTTTGAGCCTGAGCTTGGGACTGGGAATGAATCCGTCTCAGAGTCTCATGCAGAAGCCTTCTCGGACTCTTCCGAATCAAAGAGCTTCCTGGAACGATATCTTCCAGCTTCCTGGTAAGATTCTTCTCCTTCTTTCTTGATTTTTCTTTTTGTTCATTCACCTTCTTTGAAACTTCTGGATTGATACATGCAAATCATGCAATAAAAAACCCAGGATTTTCTGCAGTTTTCGATTTCAGATCCATCTTCTGTTGTAGTTTTGTGACTCTTTGGCCCAGAAAAAAATGTTGAAAAGTTCTTTACAATCACAAAGGCAAAACCTTTTTTTTTTTTGTTTTCATTTTGATTTCCGAATCGTGAGGGTCCTTTTTAATTACTTGAATGCCATTGGTTTGGAGGACGTGTCTTGGGTCGAGTCCTTATCTCAGATGTGTGACACGTGGCAGATCGGAGCTGCGAGGCGAGAACGTTGCTTCGGGGAGTGGATGTAAATTTGGCGCCGCCGTCAACGGTTGTGGACTGTGACGACGAAAATGGCGTCTCCTCACCGAACAGTACTGTGTCGAGCATCAGCGGAAAGCGGAGCGAGAGAGAGTCTATTGGCGGAGAGCATGAAGCCGAGCGTGCCTCATGTTCTCGAGGAAGCGACGATGATGACGGAGGCGGCGACGGAGGCGGCAGAGATGGAGACGGAGACGGCGACGGCGACGGCGACGGCGACGGAGATACTTCCAGAAAAAAGCTCCGGCTGTCGAAGGAACAATCGATTGTGCTGGAGGAAACGTTCAAGGAGCACAATACCCTCAATCCGGTAAGAACCAGTGGCACTTCTGTAGATTCATTGACGAGTAAGGGTATAGTTGGGATTTCAGGACGGTGGTAAATTAGTAATTTTAACATCTGTCTTTGCCCCCGTTTGGTTATTATTATCTTCAGAAGCAAAAACAGGAATTGGCAAAACGGCTGAATCTGAGGCCGAGACAAGTGGAAGTGTGGTTTCAGAACAGGAGGGCAAGGTGAGGTCATAACAATTACTTCAATACTGACAATTTGCATCTATGAACTTGAATTAATATTTTTTTTTTTGAATGAATTAAATTATCGGATTGTTAACTTATCAAGTTTAAATATAAATAACTCTGGGGTTTGACTTTCCTGTTTTATGTAACATATCCTCTGTAATAAATACTTTAAATGTCATTCATGAATATTGGTAATGCTATTGCCATTCTTCAAACTGTTGAAAAGCAATGAAGAAAACCAAAGCATAACCCCAAAATTAATTATTCTTTTGTAGAATGAATTATGGTTTTGAAACTTCAAAATAGGAGTCAATGACCCAATGATCAAACATGAAAATGGAGTTTATGATAATTAATTTCATGAGAAAACAGAACACAATGAGTACTACCTAGAGAAACCAATTGGCCAATAATAATAATGTGACAATTATTGCTGATGATCTTAATCATTCAGTTAATATTTGAAGTAGGGGTTTGAAAAAAGTGCATCTTTTTCAATGTTAAATCTAAGTATTGTTTTGTTATGTTGTTGTTTGGTTGATTGTGATATGTAAGAACGAGGAATGAATGCTTTGTTTTGTGGTTTTCTTGAATAAATTGAAGGACCAAGCTGAAGCAAACTGAAGTGGATTGTGAGTACTTGAGGAGATGTTGTGAGACTTTGACTGAAGAGAATAGGAGGTTGCAAAAGGAAGTGCAAGAACTGAGGGCATTAAAGCTATCCCCACAATTCTACATGCACATGAACCCTCCAACCACTCTTACAATGTGCCCTTCTTGTGAGCGCGTTGCGGTGTCATCCACATCCTCCTCCTCATCCGCAGCGGCAGCTGTGTCGTCCAACTCAGCCCCATTGAGCTCTACCATTCAAAGGCCGGTGCCCCTCCTCCCCTGGGCGGCTAACTCGAATCGAAACCGCCCGGGTGACAGCTTAAATCCCCGGCCATGAACCCTTCTCTTGTGTTCAAGGTCATGGCAGCTCCCTAATGTAGAAGACAAGGTCATTTTTAGTTACTAGAGAGGCATGGATCAATGTGTTGAAAGAAAAGGTATGGAAAAAGGATACTAAGGCAGTTAGAATGATTTTGAGTCCTCCGTGGTCTTAAGTAATGTAGTTAAGAGAGGAACATGGGAAAATATGTATGGAGCTTATTATTTCTTTCTATGTATACCTTTTCTTTCCCCACCTTCATTTCTTGCTTTTATAATAGTATATGTAGTCGGTTATTGAATGAGACGGTTTGTTAACAATATATCCGAATATTTAATTGTTGATGTAACGTAATGATGCCGTGCAATTCATTTAGTTGTATTTGGTAGAATAAGGTTTGCTATTGTTTTTTTTTTGGGTGTTAAGTGAATGTATCTTTTTATTGAAGGTAATTTTGTTTAATGTATTTTTGGGTACTAAATGTTGATTTTTTTTTTAATGAGATTTAAGTTTTGGTTTGTCATGTTAGGAGAGATTTGCTATTTATTATCTACCACTGAGAATGAATCAAGTTGTGAGGGGTTAGTATTTGTTTTTTTGGTAAAGTATAGGTATCCTTTTATTGGAGGTAATCTTATTCGGGGTATTGTCGGGTACTAAATATAGACACCTCTCTCAGTGGGGATTTAAACCTTGATTCGTCACGTTGTGAAGTATTAGTCCCTTCTGCCAGATCTAATCCTGTTGGTGTTTGTATTTGTTATTTACCAATGAGAATTGAGTATAGGAGGTGCTTGCGTGGGGATTGGGTATGTGACTTTTTGTTGAGCTCTCTTTCAAGTGAGGGCTTACTTCATGATGGGCCAGGAACAAGTTGTAGTCAACTTTAGTGAGAGTGAAAGGAGTAGAAAAGACGATGGTGTTAGATATGTTTAATAGTGGTTTTGACTTTGATGAAGATGACAAGAGAGAATCCAAATCTGATCAAATTCTCTCACATCAGATTGTGATTCCATTTACAAAAGTGAATGGCATAAAAAGTGGACTTCTTGAAACATCGCTTTAATAAATTATTTCCATTATTGCGCCATTGATGGATTTGGATTTTTCTTTTCTTTTTTCTTTTAGAAAATGATTGTGATGTCATGTAATATAGTTTCTCTGTTTCTTTCTTTCTTTACTCTTCTCTTGTAATTCAGTTTTTGAGTCGTTTGAATTAAATATCGATGATAGACTACCTCCGGTCCTTAATATGAGATTTTGTTTGATTTTATTTTGATCCTAAATATAAGACTCTAATCCACCTAGTCTCTCATATTTATACATTTTTTTAAGGTGGTTATTCTAATAATTGTAGTTGTAACTAATATATTTGATTAGTAAGGATATTTAAGGAAAAACAACACCTATTTATTACAAATAATTAACTCAACTTATTTTTTTAATCTTCTCAAATTAGTCAACTGGCTCTTATAATTAGGAGTGGAGGTAGTATTTTGATAATTCAATCATTAATTTTTTCAAAACAGATTGTGTTGTGGACTTTTCATCCATGTATTTTATTGCATGCTTAACAAAAATTATGGTGGTATAGATTTAATTTAAATCGACCCGAACTAATGGAGAAGAAAAAAATGAATATAATATTTTTTTTTGTATTTATATATTTTAAAAAAATAGAGATTATATTTTTGTAAAAAAATTACATTTATTTTATTTGGTAGATGTCATATCTTAGTTTCACTAAGCTCTCAGAATCCAACTCATTTAAATTTTTATGTATAAGAACATAAAAACATCAAGGAATATTCATATGTGAAATGGCATAGATAACTATTCTCAATTGATTTTGACAATGCTCAAATTTAACTTAGTCAAATAGTTATAAAAAAAATAAAGTGCTAAATATTTATGATTTTAAAAGCAAGAAAAGTTATTAATTTGCTTAAATTCATGAATAGAACTGTGTCTACTTTTTGTGATGATTCTCTTTAAACTGTATAGATTACGAATTAAGCAGCACGTGAGCGTGATAATTGGAAAAGAACGATTAGTGGAGAGCCCACTAATCTCATCTCACCCATCAAATTTGGATGCTTGCTTGTGCCTTTTAAAGCTAAAAAGTTATACGTTTTTTTTTTTTTTGTTTTGTTTTGACCGAAAGCAAGAAAAGTTTCAGTGAATTTAAGAAGTGCCCACAGACTGATGAATTTGATGTTCATGATTGAATTTTAGATTTTTGTTGTTCAAGCTTGATTTTCCAGGAAGAGGGGGGAAATTATCTGCAGACATACTTAGAAATTATTTTTGAGAGCAAAAACATACTTAGAAATTACTTGCTAGCGAAATTTTCACATTGATAATAAGACTCAAAAGGAGACTCAATTTAGCCAATACATAACACGCACATATTAAAAGTTTTAAGAATATTGATGAATTTTATAGTTATTTTTAATTAATTCTTAATATTATATGAATATAAAAAATAATTATTAAGCATTCATAATTTTTTTAAAGGAAATACTTTTTTAACGTAATACTCCTCTGATTCTAAATATACGATCCTTTTTGTAGTTAAATTATACTACAAAAAGAGTCTTATATTTAGGACTTAAGGGAGTATTATTGATCAAAAACATCATTTTAGATGAAGGTAATGACATTTCTTTTAATAAATGAAATTAATTTTTTATTTTCTAAGTATAAACCCTTAATTCTCTCTGTCTTTCAAATTTATAGTTGTTTTTCCAAAATATTTCTATTGATTATATATGTTAAGGGGTTTCTACCCAAAGCAATTCCAATGTATATGATTAAAAAAAGTATTTTAAAAAAGATAATATGTATTTATTGTAAATAACTTAACTAATTTTTTTAATACCTACAAATTAGTTATCTAGTGCTTATGTAATGTTTACATTAGATCAAGAATTGGCCAAGCTTGGGCATTGTGAAACGTAAAGTGCATGATAGGGACAGTGTTTCAACTATCAAATTATTAAAATAAAAACAGAGATACTTTAGATTAAGGAAATATTTATTCGTCTTAAATCCAGATATACAGAGTTCATCATTCATCGAATTGATTTTCATCTTATAACAAAAAGGGTGCAAGAATCTTGAACGCCAACCAATCAGGGAAATGAAACCCCCCACATTACAAAGATGAGCCACCCACAAGCTTTTTAAAAGCCACATTCATTCAGAGGGAAGATAATTGTGGCCACTGCCATGTACAATCTAAGCAGTAACTGTACCAAGAAATATTTTTACAGTTCACGTTCCTACCAGAATCAATCATTATTGATTTACAGCACTTATTTTTGACAGAAAACGATATGCTTTTTCTATACAAGAACTGACCACAAGCAACTGTGATGGTATATAAGAGATCAGTGACTCACCAAGTAAACGGTCTTACTGGCCTTGGAATCATATTCAACTGAACTTATCTTTTTTGACCCGATGAAGTGAACTCACCAAGCTTCTTCCTCTGGTATGCGATCATAAATGATAGTCTCTTTACCATTTGGATCAGCATGATATTGGCCATATATTGCATAAACACCAACCATAACAACACTAAGAACGACAAATCTCACCCATGCTTCATGATGTAACTGTAGAAAGGATGTATTTGTCATCGCTTTTGACATATAAATCCATCAACATCAAATTTTTCATAGATATTACTTCATCACAGTTCCAAAGAGAGGTTGCAAACATACCTGTGCAAATAAGAACATGTTGAAGAAGATGCAAATAGCAGGCAGGAAGGGAACCCAAGGGCAAGAAAACCCTGGTGCTTCGTCATAAACCTGTTATGGCCAAGCAGAATTTATACGATATCAAAACTGCCACAATCATGAAATCATCAAGCAAGAGATTAACAGTGTTCCTGGACTCATGAGACAGCATCAACCCTTTGAAAAGCTGACATATGTAGATCAGATTGCCTTTGTTGAACAAGGCAGGGAAGGAAAACAATAGAACAATTCGAGATGGTTTCCTTCTAAAGGACAAGATCCAACTATAATATCAAAGAATTTAGCTACATCTTTCTATCACCAATTATTCAGAACTAATTATTAGGCGCATGAAAGCGAGGGTCCAGCTAATAAAGTTATTTATCTATATAAAGTAGTTCTAGTGGATGTTGGTCTTTAGCTCTAATTTATGCAAAATTATATCAACAAATTCAGTAGTTTTTAGAATGACATAATACACTGCATGAGAATCTGGCTAAACCTAGACAGAAATAAGTTTTAAGCCAGTTTATTTGCATAAATCAACACCATTCCCAGAAACTGATTATCAGATATATTCTCATCCATATTTCAACTGTAGATTCATCTTATACTCAACCTTATCCTTGATGCAATAGCTTTGATGTATCCCAAGCAAGAGGCAATAATATATTGCAGTGTTCCTTAAGGGGGGAAAAAAATGATAGTCACCTGCCGGAACCAGAGAGCAGCAGAAGCAGCGATTGCAACGACTAGGAGGATAATCAGAAAAATAATTGACACATCATAGCGGTATAAGATCCCAGCACCAAATCCACAAATAGCAACAGCAATTAGGCAAATGACTCCTTCCCTCCAAGATGAGACTTGACTGGCTGTCTTACCTCTCCAGCGAAGAGCTACTACACATGCTGAGACAGCTGAATAGCCAGTCTGAAACAAGAAAAATAACATGTAAACAAGACTATTTACAAACAAAGTCCAGTAGTATCTCTGTATAAAACAAAACTTGGCTGTATTAGAAAGTTCTGAGAACCTTAATCAGAAAATGCAATGAAATGCATTGAAAATTGTAAAGATATTGTAGGAGATATTATAAGATATGTAAATATCCTGTAATTAGTATATAGGATATGATGTGATATGATTTCATATTAATGAGCCATTAATACCTAGGCTCCTCTATTGTATATAAATACCCAATCGAAGTATCAATAAAATACACAATTTTCATTCTCTAAATTACATGGCATCAGAGCCAATTTACTAGGGTTAGAAGAAATTTTTTTCCGGCTGCTAGCGTCCGTGCACTGTTCACCAGCATCCGTGCACTGTTCACACGCTACCAGAGGTCCGTTCTCCCGCCATCTACAGTGCACACGCGCCGGTCAGGGGAGGTCGCAGGGTTCCGATCGGCCAACCACCGGAGTCTCGTCGCCGTCCGAGCAGCGCGTGGCCTTCACGCGCCGTCACCCCGTCCGTGCACTGTTCACGCGCCGTCGCGTTTTGCAGTGTTTTCCGGCGTCGTCTGTCATTTTCCGGCGTCCTCTCTCGGTTTCCGGCGTCTTCTG